AGTGAATTCTCCCATCTCACCATTTGACCTTAAACACAAAGAAACCTCCGGCTTCTAAAGAATCTTTCCTCTTCAATTTTGCAAAGCTTTGGGGCGCTTCTCATTCCTCTTCCTACACTTGACAACCCATTGTGTAATGGCTCGCCACTCCTTGTTTGTTTTGCAAGGAGTCAGCTGGTGAGGGAAAACTGTATCTATGCAGAGCTCAGTGTATGTATATTCTGTTTTCTTTAATCCACAGATAATACTTGTCCCACTTGAGGATTCTGGGTTAATGTTTCTGTTTGAATGTAAAAATATTTGAATGTAAAAATAAAGATCTTGAAGAGAGAGATTGTTGTTGCCCTTGGATTGGACTTACCTTGATATGATTGCGAGTCTGCGACATGAATAAATAATTGTTTGTAGTGCTTGCTTAGGAGCATCCATAGTGGTTGGTCTAGTGCACAGTTCTTTCTAATTCTATGTTTCATCATTTGTGCTAGCATGGCAACAGGGTGGGTTTGTAGTCTCCCGTCCCTCAGATTCATATTGGGGCGGAATAAATTAGGTTGGTGACAAGAGCAGGCCGGGTGGATTAATTGTGTAACTTAAAAATTGGGAATATTAATAAAAATTAAAAATAATATAATATATTATAGATACTAATTTATAATTAATGAAAGTTAAAATATGTCAGATGAGAAATAAATCAGTGAAAATAAATGATAAGTGTAATATTTAGGGTGATGTACCAATAAATCTCAAAATGTGATTTTGTGAATTGTTTGGTCCTTGCTTTTTTTTTATAAATCTAAAGGTCTCATTAAAGTGAAAATTACACAAAACGATAGTCACTTACATATTTAGGTTTAATTTTTTGGGAATAAAAGTGAGTTTCTCCAAATGTAAAATTACACATTTGGGCAATCTGCGCTATAGAAGTTTTGAGTTGCATTTGGTAGAAGTTTAGAATTATGATTTGAGAATAGGGTTATATTTTGAGTTTGTGAGTTTTAGAATTATGATTTGAGTGTAAAAAATTTGTTTAGTTATGAGTTTTGAAAAGAGTTTTGAATTGAGTGATATGACATATGATATTTAATTCAAAAATTTACAACTCATAACCAAACACACAACCTAAAATTCTATTCAAAACTCATAAAAAAAAATTTAAAAAAAAATTCCCAAAATACTTTTTATTTAAAATATAAAAATAACATGTGTCAAAAAACAAAACAAAAAAGACACAAACACTGTTCCGATCATCCGACCGGACGTTCGGGGAGATGTCCGAGAGGATGACCGGGTAGACGTGTTTTGAAAAGTGTGTGGGAATCAATTTTTGAAAATTGTAAACAAATCGAGCACTCAAATCATGTTGTGGGATCATATTTGGAAAGCTCCACCAAACACAAGATTTTCTCTTATTCTAGAATAAATTCCACATTACGAATAAAAACGTAATACTTTAATAATGTAACACTCTAATGTAACACATTAAAAAAAATTTTGGTGTATTTTTCTCAAACGTAACAATATAACATTAAAAAAATTCTTTAATGTACTTTTCTTAAATGTAGCACTTCAATATAACACAAAAGTAACACTCCAATCAACGTAACACTCTAATCAATATAATCCTAAACGTAACATTTCAATGTGACATGCTTCAATGTAACACACACAAAAATACTAAAAACTCCTTATTGTACTTTTTTCAACGTAATACTCATAGTTTGAAATTATATATTTGTCCAAAACTTACTAATGAATTTTCGTATTCCTTTTGGAATGATTTGAAAAATCTCACATCATTTTTTTGGAGTGTTACATTAGAGTGTTACGTTTAAGAAAAATATACTAAAGAGTTTTTTTGTATGTTACATTAAAGTGTTACAGTAAGGAGTTTTTTTGGAGTGTTATATTGGAGTGTTACATTTGAAAAAAGTATACAAAAAAGTATTTTTTTTATTATTTTTTTGTATTACATTAGAGTGTTACACTAAGCAGTTTTTTTGTGTATTACATTAAAATGTTATATTGGAGTTTCACGTTTGTAAAAAGTACATTAAGGAGTTTTTTTGTATGTTACACTAGAGTGTTACACCAAGAATTTTTTTTTAGAGTGTTATGCTTGGGAAAAGTACACTAAGGTTTTTTTTTTTTTTAGTGTTACATTGAAGTGTTACAGTTTAAAATTATACATTCGTTCAAAGTTTACTAAGGGTTTTGGTACTCCTTTTGAAAAATTTAAAGAATTTCACATCATTTTGGAATGCTTGAAGAATCTTATATTTCTAGTCATTTTTGTACTCCTTTTGAAATGTTTTCCAAATAAAAAGATTGTCATATAAAAATTCATCCCAAATTCGATTTTTATATAATGTGTACCTTACCTTTCTAGCACAAAAGAGAGAGAAAAAAAAAGAAAAAAAGAAAAAAGGGTATAACCGTAAATTTAATTTTTAAATAATATATTAATCTACATTTCTAAAATTAATGGGACTAATTGGTCTATTAAAAAATCTTGAAATTAAATGGATCATCATTTCTCAAAATGGGATTTATAGATAAAATTTTCTAATATTTAATCTTGTTATTTTGAAAAAAACTAAAGAATATATAATATATGGAGTAGGGGCAAGGCGAGTTAGAATGGGGGGAAGCAAAACCCATTTCTGTCTCACTTTCTCATCACAGGTAGGGCAGAAGATGCAAGGGCAAAGTAAAGCGATAGCTGTTCCTGGAGGGGGAAATGGGGTCACTGTTGCGCTAAAGGCGCAACAGTGACCGTTGTGCCTCAACTTGAGGTGTATTATGAGCTTATTTTTATGATCCGAATAGTTCATTTTGTAGGGTTTGTTAAGTACTTCATGCCTACCAAAAATCATATTAATCGGATATCAATAACTATATGATCGATAACCAAAAAAATAAACAATAAGTTTTTCTTTTTGAGAAATAACATAAAAAATGCAATTCAATCATATAGTTATTGATATTTAATTAATATAATTTTTGGTAGGCATAAAGTACTCAACAAATCCTACAAAATGAACAGTTCAAATTATAAAAATAAACCCATAATACACCTCAAATTGAGGTGCAACAGTCACTGCTGTACCTTTAGCACAACAGTGACCCCATCTCCGTTGGGGGTTTACTCCTATAGTTCAAGGACATAGGCTCCAATCTTTGGAGCAACGCTTAGATAAAAATCATATTAATCGGATATCAATAAGTATATGATCGATAACCAAAAAAATAAACAATAAGTTTTTCTTTTGAGAAATAACATAAAAAATGCAATTCAATCATATAGTTATTGATATTTAATTAATATGATTTTTGGTAGGCATAAAGTACTCAACAAATCCTACAAAATGAACAGTTCAAATTATAAAAATAAACCCATAATACACCTCAAATTGAGGTGCAACAGTCACTGCTGTACCTTTAGCACAACAGTGACCCCATCTTCGTTGGGGGTTTACTCCTATAGTTCAAGGACATAGGCTCCAATCTTTGGAGCAACGCTTAGATACAAGATTTGGACTCATTAATTTTGACTATGGACTGGACACTACATTCAATGAAATTAGAGTCAAGTTATGACTCAAGTCTGTAATCCCTGTTTTCGAGTAATTTTTATATGTTAAGAAGGTATATTTCACGTGATATCTTCTATTATTGTGATTGGCTTTAACAATAGGATCTATCACATTTATGTAAGGATGTTTGGGGAACAATAGGGGGCACATATATTTGTGATTAGTGGAAGATAGTGCCACGTAAACCCTATTAGCATACAAAAAATTCTCGTTCTGGAGCCTATTGTCACGTCCCGCTAGATTACCTAGACAGAATTGCTTACCAAGAGAAAGTCTCAAGGAAAAGAGGCTAATGAAATATTTCGGAAGCTCTTGGAAGACTTGAGAAAATGTAAAAATATGGTACATAATTCTATAATGTACATGAACGGATCTAGAATAAGTTCTAGACCATTTAAGTGAAGATTCGAGGAATAGAAGCAATAGAAGCTTCTAGAACCTCTTAGAGAAATAAAGGTGGTAAAAGACCCTTATACATACATTTAGAATGAGATAGATATTTGTATAGATATTTTTAGGGAGGATGCTAGAACCTTCTTGTAAGATAAAGAAAGCTTCCATAAGAAGCTTCTTCATAACTCCTTTGTACGTTTTGAAACATTCTAGAAAAGACCTAAGATTTTTAAGGTGAATACAAAGGTATTCTCTCAAACTCACTGTCTTTTTATTTCTCTTTCTTGCAAACTTATGAATTAGGTCAAGTAAAACTTGTTTCTTGCAAACTTGTGAATTAGGTCAAGTAAAACTTGTGATTGTCTAAGTGTATTATATATTCACCCCTAAGCCTGAATCTATAGCCCGTCATACAATTACAAAACCAATTCATATCTCAAATACAATGCCTTAAGGATTTACATATTTTAAGGAGTAGAACTTTGTAGATAACCAAGGCCATGACACTAGGCTCATTTGGGGCTTTCCTATTCAACACTCCAAAAAAAATAAGTATAATAATCACGTTCAAAAAAAGTTGTTATATATTGATCGCCCATTACCCTTTTTCAAAGGGTTAGTTACATTTTACCCCTCACAACTATCAAATAAAATCAACTGTAACCCCCTTAATTTTAAAATATACATTTGAATCTCTCAATTATCAACATCGTTTCACTTCCACCCCTCTAGAAAAGGGGTTTTTGTATAATTTTTAATAGTTTAGTCTAAATGTATGGTTTAAAGTCAGAAAATAGTAAAGTGATATCTAGTGATAATTGAAAGAGGTAAACTTCAATTGTTCATTAACAAAAGATCACATAATACCCACCATCTATCTCATAAAAAAGATCCACCATTGACAAATGAGCTATTCTCAATTCATGACAGCAGGAGTGAAACTTGGTCAAAATTCCTATAATCTAGTAGAGATGTACAAATAGAAAATCTATATAGCAAAATAATCCAGAAAGATATAGCAAGTTCTATTTTTTGACATTTTAAAGCAAAATATCCATCAAGATAACTTATATTTTCAACAAGTCATAAGTTATGTACAAAAATAATATAAGTGTAACACTTTCCTAACTCAAAATATATGTTTCATAGATTCTAGTCTTTACATGTTCATCATATTTGGCAAAGTACTGATTTGTGCAGTTGAAACTAGAGAAGAGTTTGAAGCTCCATCTTACTTCCTATCAACACTAACTTTATAAATGCACTCAAACACATCCTCAATTTCAAAAGCACATTCATCTCCAACCTGAATGCGATTTGCCTTGCAAAATGCTTCCCAACCACTTCCCAAAACTTTGATACCCTGTTTCTCATGGTAGATGACTGGCCACAATCTAGACACTGGGTCTCGAAGGCGAACTAATACCTTCCTTTCCATTATGGGCCTTCCCCTGAATGAAACCGATGGCAAGCAACTCGGCAACTCCTGCACCAACATAAAAGGATTGTGAAGAAAAGTTTAGAAATGCCGAAGAAAAGGGTACATTATTTCACTATCTAAAAAAGAAAAGGAAAAATCTCCGAAAAAACATTCATTTACACACAAGAGGTGCAAAAAGAGTCCATTCAATTGGTTAAATGATAACAAGTAGCCAACATCAAGTTTTCCATGATAGGTAATACATGAATGGTCTTTTAATTATCAGCAATGAGTGGAAATTCAATTTATTGACACGGAGAAATGATGGTCAACCCGCTACCATAAACTCAAATATTGTGTTTGGATCTATGGAGGACAAAAAAAAGAAGAGAGGATTTGTGAAAAAATATATCTCATCAACAAATCCAAACATAGTCTATGGGTTCCACTCATAGTTTTGCGGTACTTGATATCCATGATTTCAAATTCATGCTCAACTGATACACGTTTAGATAGAGATAGAGAGAGGAGGGGGGTTGATTACTTTTTCAAACTAAGACCAAGACAAAAGACAAAAAAAGAAGCTACAAGTGGGAGTAGGAAATCATAAAATGGGCCTTTAAAGAAAAAAGAAAAAAGACAAAAAAGGGGAGAGAGAGAGTAGGGAATTGTTCATTGAACATTTAGGTACCTTGCTCAAATTCGAAATTCTGTCAAATCCTTGTGAATTACCATTTCTCCACATATTTCAATTCAAACTAACACATAAAAGGTGTTTAACAGGGAAAGTCAAATGTTTTTGGTCAGCTTTCATCCATTCCATCTTCTCTTAAAATGGTAGGACTAAGCGTTTCATCAATAACTTTATTTGGAACTGAATTCTGTTACATAGTAATTATTATTAATGACCTCTAGCATGTAAGACCAAGGAAAATTGAGAATACCAAGTTATAATGCAGTGCAATCAGAAGAACAATATTACAGAAAAACCAAAAATGATTTTGCAAGTCAGATTATTATGATAACATTTTGACAAAAAATTGAGAACACTACACATTCTCTATTCACTTCGACTACATCTTGGGTGTCTCCTTCAAGGCAAAAAAATGGTTTTTCAAGAGTCTATAATTTATTAGTTTCTTGCATCCTTTACATGATTTCGTCCATTAGTGTCACATAATAGAATGGCGCAATAACTAAAAGCATCCTTCTCAATTAAAAAAATGATAAATTACAATTACACCCCTAAGGTTTACCAAAAATACAAATTCCCTACTTTGGTTTGGAAAATTACAGAGACCCCTTTGTTGGAGTTTTATCTTTTAACAAGATTAATAGAAAAGGAAAAATTACCTAATTACCCTCCCCCACAACCAAAAAAAAACATGGTACGCTCGTCTCCTTTGCCCAAGCCCTTCCATTACCTCCTTCCCTCGCCAGCATCTCACCCCTCTCCCATCCATTAATCTTTTTTTTGTTAAATGTTGTCCGTGGCTATGCTTTAACCATAATGACCAATTAGATATAATGGCTTCTTGTTGTGAAACCTCCCAATCAATACTTTTTGTTCCACAATCCTAGGATATATATGACTCTAAGTTCTTCAAGCAAATTGAAGTTGCGCATTGGTTTTGCAAGGCCTATTATGTTCATCGTGTCTATAAAAAACGTGAAACAGAGTCTTCACACATTCAGTCTTGTTTGGAAGGGGTGAATTGACATTTCATTTCCCTTCCTCCACCACAAACACCTACCCCGCCCCCTCCACTCACCGTGCATGACTCACAGCCAAACGAAATCCACTTGGGTCTTTTGTCGAATAGTTGGTCCACAACTTCCACAGCCTATTCTCCCTCACCCTTCACCCCCATGTCACCAACACTCAGCCATCGGCAAAACAGCCACCAATAATAACCTCCACCACAACCATGCCCAACTCCACCTCTTCACTGCACACTTGCATTGCCATCGCCACCACCCATCACCAAGACCCCGTAGCATCTAACCCTTACCATTGAACGTTTCCCTAGCGTGTCGTGTCCCTCATCTTTTAAAAATTTGCATGTCCACGTGTCTGTGTCCATGTCGTGTCCCGTGTCCGTGCTTCATAACTCTTTGTCTCCTAGGTTAGGGTTTCTCTTTGTTTTCAATGTGTCCAAGAGTATCCGAAAGAAAAATCATTTTCGGCTGCAAAAATTCAAAAAAAAAAAAAGGGGGACACGTTAGGTAGAGTATCAGACACGTGTCCACCGTGTGTCTGACGCGTGCCCATGTCCGACACCCATACGTTGCCTCTAGAGAGGTGTCCATGCTTCATAACTTACAATCATCGATCCAATTCTACGATCCGATCCTATACACTCCTCCAACAATCCAATGTAGGATCTTGATTTTAACAACTGTGGGAAGGAAGAGGGTTCAAATGATGGGGTGCGATGGACGGAGATGGTGGTCAGTGAATCTCCGATTGAGTTAATAGATGAGCAAGAAAAGAATCTTGATTTTGAATGCAACACATATCAACTTTGAACATTTATTTCTTTTCCATTGTATCATTTTTATGGTAATGATAATACAATGCCCTTTGGACATTTGGGTGGGGAAGAGGGAGATTAATGCGAGTAAAGAGGGGGAAGGAGAGAGACATAGATGGAGTCTCATGTCTCTTAGGGGAAAATTTGGTACTTCGAAAAAAAAAATGTTACTGAAATCACTACATTCTGTTAATTGACCTAATGGCAGACTGACGGATGTGAAAAACTGTAATGCGATCTAAAATTTTAGGCTGCAGGATGTATTTCAGAACCTCAGGTACTCAAATGTACTTTTGATAAGCCTCGGGGGTGTATTTGTAATTTACCCTAAATTAGGTAAACATACTCAAAAGCAATTACCGAGACCAAAATATTAGAGCAAAAACAAAACAAAACAAGAATCTTTATAATACAACATGCTAATTGATTTATTTAGACTATTTGCTATGAAGGATGAATTTGTTGCCATAAAAACTGTTCAAAATCAACTAACAATGAGTAGATGAGTAACATACAAGAAAAGACAGCCTGCCCGGCACCGCCAAGAAAGGGACTTTGACTGAAAGTGTAGACGTTGCATGTTCAGTTTTCACCACTTTGTAAACATGATCATTATCTTTCATGGAAGGACTGGAACTCCTGTCACACTCCTTGATCTCTGGATACTTTCCTGCAATCATTCATTGCATTTTATACTGAAGATGGAAATACATGCCATAAATCATGAAAGTTGGGCACACATGATCATGTTCATGTCTAAATAGCTAAGCAAGAGGAAAAGAAGTGAAAATATAATCATACCATGCATCATCTTCCTTGCCCTCATCTCCACTTGCTCTTTTTTAACCACTTTCATCCTCTCTCCTACTCAACATAGCATTAGGTTATACATCTTAAATTATTCTTTTAAATAGCACAGAAAAAGAATAAAACAATAATAAATAAAATAACATAACCTAAAAGCTTAAGTGAAAACAAAGTGCTGCAACAATAACTGGAGCAATGGAAAATTGACAGGGACTGGAAACACACCAGATTGACAATTCCAAGTTTGAACAGAGGCTGGAAATTCACAGAACTTTGACACATCGGCAAACTTCTGTTGCATACTTTGACACCTTTCCATGAGGGAAGTATCTTTCTGGGATATCAAAGCCTTATTGCTGCCTAGTAATGATTCAAGACTTTTCACGTGAGGAAAATTAAAGTGAATATAGTAAATTAATAATGAAAATAAGAAGAAAAAAAAAAAAAGAACAAAGAATTTAGAACTCATAGTTCCACGCGAAATGAAGACAAAGCAACTAACTATATCGTGTCTTGCTCCTCCGCTCTCGCCCAGAAGTGTTGCCATTGCCATAATCTTGATTAGACACGTTATCCATCATTTGAAACTCATTTTTCTCAAGAATTGGCAAGTTAGGTACATCAAGAAAAAAAAAAAAAAAGAACAAAGAATTTAGAACTCATAGTTCCATGCGAAATGAAGACAAAGCAACTAACTATATCGTGTCTTGCTCCTCCGCTCTCGCCCAGAAGTGTTGCCATTGCCATAATCTTGATTAGACACGTTATCCATCATTTGAAACTCATTTTTCTCAAGAATTGGCAAGTTAGGTACATCTGAAAGCGTTGTCTGGCTCACTACCTCTTCAGTCACAGGTAACTTATCCACTATTTCGGCTTCAGCTTGAGATTGCGGCATTGTATTAACATGGGAAAGGGGCCTTACATCTTCTACCAGAACTTCTTTAGGTCCATCAACACTGGGTGTCCTCTGCATTTCAAAGTCTGCCAAGTCATATAAAGAGCTCAAGCGGTCCACTTGTCCTACCCCAGAATCTCTATCAATCATATAAAATGGTTCTTCGATGCATTTTGTTCTGGGAACATTATGAAGCCTTTCATTGATGTTATCAATGTTTGAAGTGGTATACGTGGTTGCCATTGGCAGCCTTCGGCTTATTTCACTTTCAGAACCAGATACAGCAGAAGTATTTGAACCCTCTTTGTTCATAGAATTTATAGAAACATTAATTGTGTGGCATTGTTCATCTTTGGCACTGGAATCTCTATTAGCCCTTGTTCGTTTCTTCTGATTGCTATTTTCCTTCGAAAAATAGAGTTTTTCACACCCACTTTTTCCATAGATTTGAACAACAAAGTGAGATTGCTCTATGTAATGGAATAACACAAAATCTCCAATTTCTAGACCATGTTCGAGTGAAAAAGCAGGCCATCCCTGTTGGAAAGCCAAGGACCCATCATATTTGGATAATGTTACCGTCCACCTTTGCCCACTTGCATCCTCCAGCTGAGTTTTTTGATCAATCAAGTCTGACAGTGTTTGGGCAAATTTAGGAGGCAAGAACTGCAAAGAAATAACAGCTTAGAGAACATAATATGGATGGTTTAAGCAGAAAATCTGCAGAAGTTTAATACAGATACTATAATTACAAAGTTAACTACAACAAAAAGTTTGTTAGAGCAACTCCAATGGTGAAAACTAAAATGGCTTTGTCAAAGTAACTTTTTTGCTATACAAATCCAATGGTCCCATGTTATTTTGGTACAACCAGCTCTCATATCAATTTGTGACCATTAGATCTACTTCCCAAAAAGCATCTAGTGTTCATAATTCCCTTTGCCTATGAGGGTATAGCTAAAAATGGCTTTGGCTCAAGGATTTGGCATGGCATTAGAGTTGCTCTTATACAACCTTGGAATGATACAATTCATACACATGCAAACAATGACTACAAATGTTTTGAGATTTTGACACTGAGAACCCTTTTCAGGTCAACTACATTAACCGAGCAATAAAACAGACACACGTGCATACGTGATATGATACTGCTACCAAGAAAAATATACCATGAGACCAAGAAAATTTAATGATTAATTCAAAGAAACTCCAAATTAACTCAGCAAACACTTCCTGTAATAAAATTTTTGCAGATTGCAATTTCTGCTCTCTTTTTTTTCTTTTTTCCTTTTTCCTTTTTTTTCTATTTTTTTTCCTTCGTTATAGATTAATTGAATCCCCAAATTTTCTATTGTTTTTAATGTTTCAGGTGCAAATATTCCTGCAATGTCATGTTGCCCACTATTAACAAGGATAAGTAGATAATCATAATGAAAGGACAACAAAAAAAATGACAACCAGAATAGGAAGATCCATCACTATACCATCCACAATATAGCAAACCACAACCCTCTACTTCACTCAGCACTAGGAATCAATCTTAAAATCAACAGAACGAAAAATAAGAGTAAACAATAACTAAATCAAATAATTTATTCTATGAGATGTAAATGCAAACAGAGCAATGAAACCAAAAACAGTATTTCTATCTTATTTTTTTTCAGAAACTTTTTTTACCCTCATAGATCCGTTTCAAATCACAAACACAGCGGAACAACAAAACACATGATCCTGACCAATGACCCTCAAGATTGTGGGGGAATCGGTCCACAATTGGCCAATGGGGAAGAGTGACCACTGCATACTGCTGCTGTTGGGAGTGTCATATGGCACTTCCTATCATATGGATTTTCTTCCTCATAGGGGAAGATTTCTGAGAGAAATCGAATCTCAAAACATAACCTTCAAACATTTTACAAATAAAATTGCAGCATCAATTCTCAACACTTCCAAACCCCAAAAGACCACCCATCCTAATCAGACCCTTGGAAACATTGTACTATTTTTTTAGATTATAAAGCATGCAGGTACGGAACCAGGAATCGGAGGGGCCAAAAGAAAATAATTTTTTTCACCATATACACAAAACATACATGTATGTATAATATGATATATATAAATTATATATACATAAAAAAAATTAAATACCATAGAAGCAATTTCTAATAAGATGAAGAAGTTTTTTTGGTGTAAAATAAAAAAAGAATTTAAGATGGAAGAAGAATGACATATATATTTTTTTATACTGGGGGGCTACTTTATGTATGAAATGATATATATATTTTCAAAATTCAATGGCAAACAATAATTTTCAAAGAAACAAGAGCCATGGCCCCCATAGTCTTCTCCTAATTTCGTCCTTGGAAGCATGCAGTTACCATACATTTTGGAAATGGGAGTGTATTGGTGTTGGGACCAAACCCTAAACTTCTTGAACCGACTCCAAAGGCCCCCAGCGTAGGGTACTATAGAGAAGTATGAAACTTACGATTTTTCCAATCACATACGATGGAGGACCAATAGTGTTAGAGAAACAGTATTGTAAAATAACTAACAAGGAATTGTAGAAATGTAACTATACCAGGACTTTTGAAAAATGATCACCAATCATGATTTTGAAAAAAGAGGTAGCAACAGGCCAACCCATCTCTTCTCCACTGATGAAATTCCCTCTGCTGTAAACTTATATATACAAAGAAACAAAACAAAATCAATTAGAAGTTTTACAAAAAAAAAAAGGGAGGGAAAAAGGTCCAAAGAAGGCAAACCATTTAGCCACGAATATAATAAGGCATTCAAAGTCTCCGTAAGAGCTTTCAAATTTACTCATGAAGTGATTTCATAAAAAACATAAAATAATATAATTCAAATAAAAAACAACCAGGGTTCTCAAACAAAGATTGATCATAAATAAATATAGAGATTATTACATTTACAACAATAAATAACAAATTTATTATAGATAAGTGCGTTTAATGAAAATATTTCTTCGAACATCTATGTATAGGAATTTAATTATTAGTAAGTCAAAAACATAGACAAAAAGTCATTTTTACCCATCATCCATTCTTCCCCACAAACATGCCCCCTCCTTCGCACTACTTCTAACACCTTGGTTTACAAACACACAAAATGTAACCACGTAGATCTATATATATATATATATATTAAGAAGCATAGACACAGATACAATATCGATTTTCAAAAAATGCAAGACACGGCACATGGAGAACACGTACAAAATATATTAATTATATGACATATATATGAATATATCATTTAAAGAAAATTAAAAAAAAATACAATATAACACTTAATTTTATAAATTTATATTGTTTTTCTTCTATTACTGTATCCTATGTCATTTAGTTTAACCTTATAATTAGTTTCATACGTTTAATCAATGGACACATGCGTCCTCCAAGTGTCCGGATTTATTTTTTTCCTTAAAATAAGACACTTTTTGACAAGTGTCGGTGTCTGACACGACACGACATCTACACACCACATTTTTAGAAGCGCTCGTGCTTCTTTGTATCAGAGGAAATTAATATCAATTAGGGTGAAAGAGACCATTAGTTAGATTTTGGCATGCCGATTCCTTCTCAACAATGGGCACATATTTTGGAGCAACCAATTGAGTTTGCTTCTTTTAAGAAGCACCGACACGGACACAGACACGCAAATTTTTAAAAAATGCAAGACAACACACGTTGGGGACATGTTTAAAACATATAATTTTGTATATTTATTATATGTCATGTTTTTAAATATTTATTTATTTATGTCAAATATTTAATTTTATTAAATTTATCAACTTTAGGTATGCTATTTTAGTAAAAAATTTAACGTATCTTCAGTGTGTCCCAACATGTCCCTAGTTTAGAATGAATGTATATTATGCTAGGGAGAGAGGCGTTTCGTTGAAAGGAGGGAACTACACTTTACACTAGAGACTAGTAGAACTTTGGAAAGAACAGAGGGATATCGAGAGAGAGTATGAAAAAAACTAGGGTTTAATTCAAACCCCAAACCCTCCATTGTTAAAGTTCTGTACCAAAAACAAAGCACTTCTCAATTCCTCGCTCGCATTACTCTCTGTCACCAAGGTCAATTGCTATGCTCTCTCCTCCTTTTTCTCCTTTTCTTCATATATAATTATTATCTTATAGTATGTCATTCTAAAGAGAAATTTTATAAAATACATTCATTTTTTGTGTTATGACTGATTGTGATGTTGATTATTTCTATTGGGATTGTTATTGTGATTACGTTAAAAAAAAAAGTCTTTCTGTTTGATTATGACCCATTATGCTTTTTTAGTTACGACTAAAAGGATGTAGTTGTGGCATTTGTGATTTTGTGTATATTGCCTAGTTTCGCAACATCACTTTTGAGCTTAAAAGTTAAAAAGTTACTTTAAAAAAAGAAAAGAAAAGAAAGCCAACAACTTATACAAAAAAGTTAAAGATTCCCTTATCTTTTTACTTTTTGCACATCTTTTCATAAAAAATTAAAAAGTCATCCCGAACATACTAGTTTTTTTTTTATGTCATATTATAGACAAAAAACCAAAAAATTACTAAAAAGCATGTTTCCAACATACTAACATGGCCCATTCTAAGGCCTTGTTTGGGAAGTTGGTATTTGACTATTTTAGCATGGCTAAAAATGTATGTGTTTGGGAAGTTAATCGGTGTTTTTTTTTTTAATTGTTGCGATGGTTGTGAGAAAAAAAGTAAAATTATTATGGGTTAGACGTGACATTTTGTCTTATTAGTTATTTTAGCTTATTTTGTCTTTCAGTGGCTATTTTAGCCCAACCAACTTCCCAAACAAGGCCTAAATACTATCCTTTGGGTGATGCTTTTGTGTTTCCTTTAAATCTCTATTGACATGTCTGTTGATTGGGATTATAGGGTTTTATGTGCATTTATTACCAAAGTCCGATTCTTTTATAAACAAAATTTTCAAAACCAATTAATTTTAAACTTAAGCTTTGAAAATATTTTTCATGTAAATTGATTTTGCACAAAAGAAAAGAAAAAATTCTTTTTATTTTCCGGTTATTTGGTTGACACTTCAAACAACCACCTTATGTTGTATGCATTGGGTAGAAGTCAACAAAGAGTCTTCCTTTGAGTTCTAAAAGATCAATGTATTGAAAGCATAACTATTAAATCGAGATTTGAATCGTGAATCGAAATGATATTGTACCGAATTGCGAATCGAATCGAATCGAATCGTGAACCGTAAAGATTCGGTCACCTTTTTTAAATTACATATAATAATATATGTATACACTTAATATTAAATATATCTAATAAATACGAAATATTTAGACTTAAATCAATGAAAATATTGTTTTAAATGATGATCATATGGTCTAAATAAGAAGTTAGCACAGTGTCACGGCCTTGGTTTCCAAGCTATCCGTGCGGCACTTAGACAATCTCAAGTCTCACTTGATGATGCTAAGTTAGCCTAACTCACAAACTTGAAAGAAAGAGAAGTTAGAAGAACACAAGAGAGTTTGAGAGAATGCCTTGTATCCACTCTTGAGAGAAAGCTTTACAATTCTTGGATGGTTTGGAGCAAATGAGCTCCTCTCCTATTTATAGGCTCGCTAGGAGTATTCTAGAATTCTCAAGAAAATATTATGTAGAAGCTTCCCATGGAAGCCTTCTTTACAAACTACAAGAATGTTCTAAAATGCTTTTTAGAACTATCTATACAAATATCTAATTATATGTACAAGTGTATAGGTTCTTGAATTCCCTAGGTCCTTCTAGAATCCTCCATGATCTTCATATGTGCTAGAGTTTGCTAGGGAGTTCTAGATTCTTCCATGTTCTCTCAAGTGTTGGAATGAGCTAGGAAGTTCTAGATCTTTCCATTGGTCTCCATGCTCCCAATCTCCCATATTTTCTCAAGTCTTCCAAGAGACTCCAGAATATTCTATTAGCCTCCCTTCCTTGAGATTTCCTCTTGGTATGCAATTTTGTCTAGGTAATTTGGCGGGACGTGACAACAGGTTCTTATATTTACCACTTCACATTTTCCCTTTTAGATACTATTTCTTGTTAACCATTCTTAATAAAGAAAGCAAACAAAGAAAAAATTTCAAATTTCAATTTTCAAGTAACAATAACTCAACAACAATGTTTTTTTTTTAAAAAACTTTTTACAAAGTTAAAAAATCAAAATCTTCAAAAAAAATTTCTAAAATGTCACTTGATGCCTTCAAAAAATTCATTTTGTAAATGCAAGTACTTAGATAAAATTGAATATATAAATTTAGAATATTGTAGAGAGAGTTTTTTTTTTTTTTTCCTGCTAAGATTTGAGTATTTGAGAGTAAATAGCAAGGTTGTGTGACCGATTCGGTTGTGTGAACCCTTTTCCAACAAAAAGCAAAAAAAAAAAAGCCAAACATCAATTTTAGCAATTCACGATTCACCGATTTGGTTCAACGATTCACCGATTCATAGCTATTTGCGATTCACATAACCTGTTCGTATCGATTACCCACTGAATCGAATTGAATCGCACGATTCGAATCGTGAATTGTACGATTCTAGTAAGAGAGATTGAAAGAGCTAAGCTGGAAATGAACTTTTTAAAAAAATTGACTTGGTGAAATTTTTAATGATAAGCCATTTTGGGGATTATGATGAAAAATACTTGTCTCAATAAATATGTTACTTTTTATTCAACCAAACAATGAAAAATGTATAAAATATTTTTGCAAAAATATTTTAAGTCGAAACAAACGGAGCCTAGAAAAACTTGTTTTTTAGATGTGTTGTGTTGTGTACAAAGGTGATTGGTTTATGTTGTGTTTGATTTGATTTTTCAAATACCTTTTTTAGATAAGTTCTTGTTTATTTTTAGTGATTTTTTTTATAAATATTTTAATAAAATTTCTTGTACTTTTTAGATGCACCCAATTGAGATGCATCTAAAAAGTAAAAACAAAAACTGACTAAAATATTAAAAAAAGACTAAAGGAAACAAAAATTCGAACAAATATCTGTGTGCATTTTTGTTTGGTTTTTTGTTTGTTTTTAGTATTTTTTTTTTCATGTTGTAGTTTAAATTTTTTACTTTTTAGATACATCTAATCTTGATGTATCTAAAAAGTAAAAAAATTGACTAAAATATGAAAAAATTTTAGTAAAGACAAACGAAAACCTATCTAAAAATAATTTATGAAAACTGTAACCAAATGTTTTATAAAGTTGTCATGACTTCCATAATTTTAAAGTTCAACTTTAAAGTAAACATGACTTCATGAAACAATATGAGCTTGAGAATTAAGTTTAAAACTACTTGAATTTGAGATTTAAAAAAAATAAATAAAATAACATGCGTTTGGTCAAAAAACTTCTAAACTCAGGTAGGGCTTTATGAAATTGTTACCAATGTGTGTGTGTGTTTTACGGTAATATAAGTTGTTAGCAATGTTTCAGGTTGTTTTTCGTAGCAATTTCTTGTTCTTTGTTGTTCATGACAAGGGTAGTTTCTTATTTTTATGAGAGCAAATTATGCGCTGTCATAAAATATATATATATATATATATATGGGATTATTATGCATAAGTTAACAAATGTTAATTCTATTTTGAACATGGAAGAGATCACCCAAAAATCAGAGAGAGAAGGGAAAGCGAGAGAGACACAGGGAGAGAGAGACAACGCTGGATGTGTGTGTATATATATATATCTATATATAACAAACAAAGGGCATGAAATCTTACATTTTTGGTGCAGATCAACGAAAAACAGGGAGGAAAGGAGTTCGATCGGCCGCGATCTTTCAGATGTGGCGGAGTTCTCGTCGTCGTCGCCAGAGAGGAAACCAGAAGAGGAGAAGAGTGGTGTGAGACAGAAGCGTGTTAGGGAAACAGAAGAGGGATTATATAATGGCAATTCCGTAATTTTTTAAGTTTTGAAGGAACATTTTAGTCATTTCAATCCCCCCAACCCAGCTGCACGCATACGCTGTTTGAATAAGCATCCCCCGAACTGCTTTCCCCCATGCTGGAAATAAATTACAAATAAGCTAAAATTTGATGATTTAAGTTGCACCAAACACATATTTAGGGGTTGTTTGGCATGTTCTAAATAAATATATTTTTTGACTTTTTATGAAATATGAATTAGATTTGAAGTGATGTGGTAGAAAGGTGATATAACTTAAATAGGATGATGTGACTTAAATAGGATAGTAACTTTTTGACTTTTTTTTTTAAGATGTCAAGCCAAGTCTTAGTTTAAAGTTAAAAGCTAAAATATGGGTTTGGTTATGGTGTGCAACTTACACCTTACACCTTATACCTTACACTTACACCTTACACTTACACCTTTTGTAAAAAATTAAACCTTACACTTACACCTTTTTTGAGGTTGCACACCATGTGCAACCCACTTACACCTTACACCTTACACTTACACCTTACACTTACACTTTATACTTATACTTACACCTTACACTTACACTTTTTGTGTAAGTGGCACATGGTGTGCACTTGCACACTTAAGAAAACTCCCTAAAATATTAGTATCTTATAAGTTGTGCCAAATAAGCACTTAGTGGTCCAGGCATGATCATACTCCTAGCTAATTATAAACTCCCATGCTCTTTTATGTTTTTTAATTATTCAATACAAAATTATGAATTTTATTATCTCCACCAATAGAATATATGTGAAGCATTATGTGGTGTACCCTAGACCAATCAATAACTTTTTGCATGGTAGCGTATAGGTAGGCCCCGTTGCTTAGGAGTGAGCACGGTCTAGATTGGTTTGATTAATAATAAAATTAAGATCAATCATTTGTCTCGGATTTTATAAAAATTGAAACCAAACTAATCTATTTAAATCATAAAACCAATTCGAATCAAATCAAATCATTTAAACACGGTTCGGTTTTGTTTGAAACTACGATTTTACATAATTTGTTAAAATCATATGACATTTAAAAAAAAATTCAACCTATAATAAATTTTAAAAATAATAATATATCCACCAAACAAAAATATAACATTAAGCAAATATTCATTAATATGCCCATGATTTTTCAAAACATAACAAATATAGGGTCCGTTTGGCAAGCAAGGTTGGGGCTAAAATAGCCACAAAAGACAAAATAGGCTATTTTAGCCACAACAAACAAAACATCACATCCAACCCATAATCATTACACTCTTCTCTCACAAAAAAAGTCAAAAAAGTCAAAAAGTCAAAAAGCTCTTCCCAAACCAAACTTTTTAGCCAAGGCTAAAATAGCCAAAAAAGTCAAAAAGCCAAAAAGCCAACCCACTTCCCAAACGGAGGCATAATATATAGAATTGCACGTATCAGGTGTATGGTATGTATATAGTTTTAAGTTACATATGATCCGGTTCGGTTTTAATCCGGAACTAATCCGTAGAGACCGATTCTCCAATTTTTCAAACCAAAACCGAATCGCGGATTCAAAAAACAAATCCAAACCTATCGGATTGGATTGGACTGGACTGATTCATATTGCGAATTTTTCAATTTCCTTGCTTAGTCCTACAGTTGCTTACCACGGGCTGACGTTAATAATTTAATCATTTTATTTTATAAATTTTGTGTGTAATTTTTTTTTATTTAAAAAAATTGATTCGATAATTATATCAACATTATTTGACTTCTAAAACGAATAAATACTTTAGTTTTGAAATAATGATTGCTGTCTATTTTTGTGAAGATAATGTAATAAAATTATGTGAATTATCACATTAATATACTTTATAATTTTTCAAGTGATTCATACGTGTAAGTTTACAAAATAGATGAATCAAAATCATTATGTCTACGTTATGAATTAGACAAAAACTTGGCTCTTTTTGAAATATTGTCTTCTTCACTAGCAAAGGGTAGAATTCTAAAAAAAAATTATATTAATTTACAATCATTTTTTATTTTCTTTTCATTCATATGATATTTTCTTACACTTTTATGTAAACCAATTAAAATATGAGTTTGTGATATGAGCTAAATCTCAGGGAATTCATATAAATGGTTGTTTAAAATAAAAAAAAAATACTGATTCATCCCCTAAAAGTAAAATTCTAATTGAGCTCTAATGATGTGAAAAATAAAAATAAAAAAAGACTAAAACATCATATCAGATGGAGTCCACACACACATTAAAGCTATTATAGCTCATTTTCTAGAGCTCCCAAACATTTTCAAAAACAAAAATAAAATAAAATATTTTACACATTTTACTGGTCTAAAGACTTTAATTTGTTTCTGAACAATTTCCTTTTCTTCAAAATTTGTAGGAACTATGCTTAGTGAGCAAGTCAAAAGTTTTTATTATTTTCAAAATTTTATCTCTGTGTTAGTTTCTCAATGAAGTCATTTCACAATCCATAAGAGGGGAATATCACACAGATCATGTAGTAAACACTACAATTTCACAGAGAAAGAAAACAATGTGTGCATAGACAAACCCTAGGGATGTTCATTTTCATATTTTATTGAGATCTTCAGGATTTTGAAAAACACCAGCAAGAAGCCAAGATCTTGTTGTTTGACATATATTTACAAACACATATCAAATAAAACCCTGCCACATTTTTAGAAATCACATTGAAGACCCAAGTTTCCGGTTCAGCAGTGGCTCCCGAAAGTGAGCCTGAGTCCACCTCTTTAGCATCTGCAGTGAAGCTTTAGGCTGATCCATTGGAACCATATGACCCGCATCGTGGACCTGGTTGTCACAACACATGACCATGCAAAAATGTTGTCATCAAAAATCACCAACTGTAGATATACAACAAAAATTATTCATACCACTAATTTAACACTATTAAATAGACCACTAATGACATGGCGAGATGTGGACCCCACACTGATGTGATAGTTTGGCCTTTGTTTTGTTTTGTTTTTTTTCCTTACACTACCACGTAATTAGTGCTGCTTTTAGTGATGGTGTATTAGTGGTTTGAATCGAAACTCTATATACAATGGCGGACCAGATTCAAGGTTAGGGGGAGCCAAAATGATACACGAGTCAACGACTTCAGTCAATACAGAAATTAAGGGGGCCTGAGGAAGGAATGCACGTGAATCAATAGTTTGATTCAATTTTAAAACCATTTGACCTATTATCTATTAGATAAAATTTTGGGTTCAGTTCACTTAATTGATACGGAGAACCTCAAAATATTAAGAGAGAGAGAGAGAGACCTTGAGGAAACTGAGAGGCCCATGGCTCTTCAACACTCCCGCTTCAGAACCATCAACTTCAAAAGGAACTTCAGGAGATGCTACAAACTCTTTCTGACCAGCCCATTCCATGGCATGCACCCATCTTGAGTTGCCTGCTCAACAGAATTTCATTCCGAGATAAGGACATTTTTCTATGATATGTTGGCTGAGACCATAGTTACAGCACTCGAGAAGAGTTTGTTTCTGAAAATTGACCCCAAAAAGACTTACCAAGCCAGTTGCAGATAAGATCATATTCCCCAGCATATACAAGTAACTTGATTCCATCCTGGAGGAGAGCAGGTATGCCAACTTCGAGGTTCCTCATCCAGTCCACAAGCATAGCCTGATACACAGTAGGGCTACAAGAAACAAAGTTTATGTCCCCGACTCCAAGAGCTTCCCTAACATTTTTCTGCTTCAGAAATTCCTCCATGTTCGAGAAGTCATAGCAAAGGTTGCCATCACACTTCTTTCTGATGTCATAGTACTGCAGGTGATGAAATTAACAATAATCAAATCTAAAATTATTCTTTGTGTTTTGCTCAATAATTCATAATCATTGTCTTTTTAGAGACATCTCTGGAAGACAAAGAAAAAACTCGTTATTGGAAGAAACTGCATTCTTAATCAGGATTGAGAAGACAGGTTTTTCTCTAAACAAGAACTAAACATCATGAATGCAACAATTTGGAAGTATGTGGAAAATGGTTTAGAAAGCAGTGTAAGATGTTACTAGATAACTAATGATGGGGGAGGTTGTCAGTTTTCTTACATTAACGTTACCGGCAATCAACATGATGCTACTGAATATGGTATTGCAAACAAAGTATGAAGCCACACAAGAGATTGTACCATCAGTTCCTGAAACAAAATAGTCAGAACTTCAGAACAGACCAGAGAGATAACCCAAAAGTCAGATATCGCAATCCAGATTCGTAACAAGCATATGAACCAACTTAGGAAAGAAATAAGCAGAAGAGAAACCTTGAAATAAAGGGGAAGGGTCGTGGGATGGGAAGAGAGAAGGGAGCAAACTCCTACCACAAAATATAAATAAGAGCAATATCAAATGGGACATTACCACAAAGCTTTATTGCCATTTCACAGACAGGAAGCACCTTGTTGATACGATCATAATCAGATTTCTTAATAATCCCCATGTCCAATGCATAATCTGTGTATGCTCTGTACTGAATTTCAGGATTAGTAAGCCCATTACCAATGGCAAATCCCTGTTCAAGCCAGACGAGTTTCAGCATTGGGTTATAACTTATAATGACACTTCACAATGCCGAAATTGGTACAACTCAAGGCATACCTTCAGGTTTATGTGAATTCCGTCTTTAGCTTTGTTTCCTTGGTGGACTCGAGCAGCAAAAGCTGGTATATAGTGCCCAGCATATGACTCTCCAGTTATGTAAAAGTCATTCTTTGCAAACTGGGGATGCTCCGCAAAGAAGGCCTAATGTCATTCAAATGAACCAGCGTCAATCATAATTGCATCTCTTTCCATACACAACTAATTTATCCTACACATTTAGTTTTTCCTATCATCTTCTCTATCTCAGCATCAACACAAAATATAAAATCATTAAATAATGTTTCAAACAAGGGAATCAAGTTAATTAAGGCAAAATAAAATGCCTAAGAAAAATCTATTAGGAAACTATCCCATGAAATTGAATGGTGAAGTTGTGTAGAGAATGAACCTTGAAATCTGTGCAGCAAAGCAAAATGAAACAATTTTTTATTTTTTAAATATGCAAATATAAGAAGTATCCAAAGGTTGCAAACTAAAACAATTGACATTTAGTTCAAGTGAAAATCAAATCTTCAAAATTTCAGCCTACACATTATTTATGAGTAATAATCAGTGGTTTGGAGAGAATACAGTGAAATTTGTTGCTCAGACACAGTTTTTGAAGGTTGAATAAACTCACCTGCAAGAAATCATACAAGTCATTACTGACACCTTCTTCATTGTGTCGAATGTCACGTTTATCAGAACTATAACTAAAGCCAGTCCCAATGGGTTGATCCACATACAGAAGGTTTGATGCCTGCAAAATTGTCATAGCAGTTGTGTTCAGTTTTTTCACAGAAGTAATCACTAAATATCCTTTGACCAAAAATATATTTATTAAGATAAAAAAGGAAAAAAGATGGACTTAGCAACAGTTCTACAACGAAAGTTTGAACAGCCAATTACGCTCAATTAATGTCAATCAACTCAATCAAGCTACACACGTGTGTTCAGTAATAGGAAGCATATAAAACAAAAGTGATTGCTTGTTGTGTTTGACAAATTGCACATAACACATAATAATATTTTGATAAAAAAAAAAAACACCTTCAAATGAAGATACCAGCTAAACCGTCAGGAGACATATGCTAAGGGTTCCAAGGATATTTTTTAGGATTTTTTTTTTTAAAAAAAAAAGGAAATTCCAACAGATGAAGAAGGCAAACAAAGGGGGCCTGAACAGTTATTAGACTGCATACAAAGGATTTGAGATGGTAATTTGGTTACTCTAGCATCATGCAAGATCCCATAGTGTATACTTGCTCCAAAATCACAATAGACTTCATACTACACACAATTATGACCTTAATTACTGGTTTGAGTTACATGCTCCGATTAAAACCAAACAGTAAGCAAAGAAAATTGCTTCAATTTGCAAGTTGACAGCCATGGAGGAGAAGAATATGTTGATGGATTAAACAAAAACTGAGATTCATGATGATTACCACGTGTAATGCTATGCATATGAACAAGCACAAATGAAGAGTTCCAGTTTTTTCATGCTACATGCCAAGAAATAAAATAGGAGTATGGAGAGGGGAACTACCAAATAATGCAACAACAAAAACCATTTAATGTAAATAATCTACCTAATCCGAAATATTTGAAATTAACATCACCGATATCTAAGATCCTCAGCAAACCAATTGCCTTAAAAGAGAAAGTTGCTAACTGATATAACAATTGTGAACAAGAAAAACTAAGCAATGTTCAATCACCTCTCAATAACATACCCCAAAAAACTCTCAATAACATGCAAATAGTTTTTTAATGTAACTTTTTTTGTGGCCAGTGTTCAATTCATTCTATTTAACTTGAAGAAAGAAACTGGGTAATTGCTTTACTTTCGCATAAAAATTCGTGGGGATAAAATTAACAAAGAATTGATATTTAACAAATATCACAATAGCGAATTAAATAAATAAAATAAAATGCATGCTAAAAGCCTTTTTTTAGCTTAACACATACCCCATCTACATAACTACATGTATGTAAGGGAAGAAGGAATAAAAAATTCAAACAACTACCACACGATACTAAACCAATATAAGCTTCCAATTGCTATCAATTTCTCTGGAAACAGTACCTTGTCCCACCCATGTTCATTCCATACAAGAGACAAGTTTTTTGCTATATTGAAAGGCCCATTTTCATAGAACATAGCCAACTCACTGCTACATCCTGGCCCTCCAGTCAACCAAATAACAACAGGGTCTTTCTTGCTGTTGCGTGACTCAAAGAAAAAGTAGAACATCCTACAAACACAAACATGATTTATTAGCATAATTATGAAAGAAACAAACAAACAATATTCACAGGAATAAGCTGGAAAACAATAAGATAAGAAAAATATCAAGTTGAAACATAACATAATAGGTGTCCCGCTTCCAACACTAATAACAGCCCTAAGGGCTGCCAAACCTCAGTAATTTAAGCAATAGAGAGCTACCGAGCTACAAATACAACAAAACATATATAACACAACCAACAATGTTGTTCATCAACGAGTGGACATCCATGTGACAAATTTAGTGGGGTCAATTAACAAATAATCATCATAGTCATCACACTTTTAGTTCTACAAAACCCTATCAAAATCAATGTCCACATGATACACTATCTACAAGAATATTAGTGGGGAAAGCAAAATTCAAACTTGTAAACAAGTAAGCATCACGTGCTGACAAGGAAGAATAGCTTTCAACTAGACAATACTATTAGGATTACTACATTTTCTTCTCACATTTTGTTTATTTGTTGAAATGACACACTCATAGTCATTGGTACAATGAGTCCCACATGAATTCCATTAAACACCTATTGTGAGCATGTCATATCAAGTGATAAACAAAATCTGGTAAAAATATATAATCATCCGAGTATTATTTCTCAACCAAGTTATGTTTTTAAAAAAATTGACTCCATGTTTGCTTCTTCTAATAATTTTAGGCGTGTCAATTTATGAAACCTTTCCAAAATTTTACGAAGACCACATAGGTATTAAAAAATTATCAAAGTTCAGTGGGTTCAACTGAACACATTGTGTTGCACGTAGCCACGCCCCTGCACGTGACCCATAGTACACATGAATCATCCATATTATTAGTAGAATTTTCATTTCATTACAACAACAAAAAAATGCATGGTTATATGCATACCATTGTAGTTGTAAATAGCAATAGAAAATTTAAAAAGCTCAGCAGTTCACTAACTTTTCATCTGTCAAATTACGACAAAATTACTCGATATGAAAATTTATCTGAAACAATTTTCTAGGTGACTCACTATATGCTCAAGCCTTAGTATAAAAACCTATCCACAAAAATCCAGATATAACTCCAACTATACATAAACACGTATACATTCATATAAATCAACACTGCTGGCACAGATGAATAATTTATAAAATCTCGAGTACCCATAATCTTCATTCTACTTACCTTGTACAATAAACATTTAAATTTATTTCCATGAAATACATACACCCTGCTCAAACACTTGATTTGAAATGGAAAAATGTTAAGACAATCAATTCTCTATCAAAACAAGCCATTTCAATAGAAGGGAAAAAAAAAAGAAAAAAAGAAAAAAAGAGTCAAGTTCAATTCACAAATTTCAGATAAATCAAAGAAATTCAACCAAAATGAGGTAGCATAGCATATAGTGCCAGAGCCTCTGCACCTCCTAGGGTTCAACTGACCATTCTAAAATAACATGTGGATGGCTCTTGCAATTGTTTGAGTCTTTCTCTATTTCAATTTCCTTTCTACATACATATCTATATCTAAAAGGGAAGGCCAAAATTGAGGTAGATGTCACATTTTTTTTTTCCTTTCCAATTGCCCAGATCAAAACCTCCTAGTATAACTAATGAAATCCAAATTCAGATTGAGATCAAAATTTGTAACCTCTAATAGCACACCACACACCACTAGTATAGTATAGTATATATATAAACAAATTGACATAAAAATGAGTAACAAAAATCGAAATTGGAGGGATTTGAAAAAACCTAGCAGCATGAGAATGCTGAATCGTGTAGTAGCCGGCATGGTGACCCAAGTCTTCGGCGGAAACGTCGGGGTCGACGAAATTGGGAAATTTGAAACGCTTCTCGACGATCCTGGGAGCGACAGGCGCAGCAGAGACATCATTGGGATCGATGATGTTGATGGACTCCTTTGGGAACAAATTGAGCTCTCTGATTAACTTCTCACCCTGAAGCGATGGAAGCCTCGCGTTTGATGGTATGCGAAGAGTCGCTGAACCCAAAGAACAGAGAAGAAGGACAGGAAAAACAAAATATACACAAACCGAACCCCTCATTTCTCTTTCTCGCTCTCTGGTTTCCACAATTGCCCCCACAAACTCGATCTCTGATCAATTTATATATATATAGCGAGCGAGCGAGAAATGTGTGATGAGAGAGAGAGAGAGTCAGAACTAACTGTCTACGGTTACGGGGTGTGGTGTAAGTGTCGTCGTATAAGGCGGAGACAGATATTTAGAGAGAGAGAGAGAGAGAGAGAGAGAGAATGGTTGTTGGGGGCGGTGCTGTTAGCTTGAAGCTTCGAGGCGGGAAACAGATACAGTTTTAGCATTTATAAAAGAAAATGTTATGGATACAAATAGGGTTTGTTTGGTAAACATGTTAGGGTAAAAAATTACAAAAGGATAAAAAAAAGTCAAAAAAAATTATAAAAAGATAAAAAAAATTACTATTTTAAAGTTAAAAAGTTAATTAAAAATACCAAACGAATAAAAAATTTTAGGCTAAAAAAATTTAAAAATTCAAAAAACTAACTAAAAAGGTCATTGTCAAACGAAAACATAAATTATTAAATTTTTTATCAAATTTTTTATATGAATGTGAGATTCACACAAATCACATGTATAAGTCTCACACTCATGTTAGAGGTTTGATAAAAAATTTAATAATTTATTTGAGGTCTGTAGTATAACTCTTTATAAAAATTACGATAATGCTACATGTACCAATTAATATATATATATATATATATATCTTGTGTATCAACTAATGTTATGTCATTATTATAAAATCTATATAAAATCCATCTATATATTAATGTAGCAACTAATGTTATGTCATCATTAATATATTAATTAGCACATTAATTCCTAAGGCTTGGTTTGACATGTTTATAAAAAAGTCAAAAAGTCACTATTCTATTTAGGTCATATCATCTTATTTAAGTCATATCATTTTTTTAATACATCACTTCAAATTCAATCCAAATTCAACTCATATTTCATAAAAAGTTAAAAAATACACTTATTTAAATCATCCCAATCAACCCCTAAATACAGGATTATTTTTGTAGAAAATGGGATAAGTTAGTTACGGGTGCTTTGCTTTCTAGAAGTTATTTAGTGGTATTTTGAGAAGTTGGTAAAAAATTAGTTTTTGACTTTTTTTTAGTCAAAAAAGTAGTTTTTTTGGGTAGTAACTTAGGTAAAAAAATTAATTTTTTTGGCTAAAAAAAGTCAAAAATTGACTTTTTACTAACTTGACAAAGCAAGCGTAAGCGGCATTGCTCAAACAATATAAGGGTTGGTTTGGCATATTTAAAAAAAGTTAAAAAGTCAAAAAGTCACTATCCTAATCATTTTGTTTAAATCACATCACCTCTTTAATACATCACTTTAAATCCAATCCAAACTTAACCCGTATTTCATAAAAATTCAAAAAATACACTTATTTCAATAATGTCATTTGTTATGTTGTTTTTTCATAAGAGACAAAAAGTGATAATTTTAATCAATAAAATGTAGAAAAATACTTGGGAGTACTAGAAATGGACCACTAGAAGAAGCATTAATGATGTGATAATGAGCCCCGCACACTTTCTATACCTTACTTCTTTTTTTACCATTTTCAACGCATTAATGTTATTAATAATGTGTTTTTTAGTGATCTAAATCATTGTTGTAAAATGTAGGTCGGAGAATCATTTGAATTTGTCGTGGAGCAAACTATAATTTCTCTTTGCTTTCACCCGTAGAAACGTACAAGAGAACTGACGTGAGCCTTCCTGACAAAAGGCGCCAAGAGTACAAGCTAAGGTGTGAATGGATCGGGATGGGTTGATCGACGGTTCAGATCTTTGACCTTTCTATTTTTGAAACCCTTTCAAAGAAGAAGTTATTGGTGAACTTTGTGTGTTGGGATTTTTTTTTATTTTTTATATTAAAAGATAAATTTTTTGTAAAATAAAAAAAAAATAAATTGAAATAAAATATCACATTTAATTTTATAATCATTTCATTTTTTTTCTTATAAATATCACATCCAATTATAAAAAAACTAACTATCTTTCCAAATATCAAAATTTTTTTATTTAATAATATCCTAGGACAACTTACATAAAAACCCACTTTCTAAACATCCACAGTGTTGGTTATGGGGCAGCGTTTTGTGGTGCTTTACATGTCTTGTAATTAGTGAATTGAGATTTATAATTTTTATATTAAGTGATTGAAAAATATGAAAAAACATAAAAATTTATAATTGAAGTTTTTAAAATTTTTGTAAATATAAACAGAAAATTGAAAACGTAAGTGTTACCAAACGGCACCTTAAATTTTTTATCAAATTTTTTATATGAGTGTGAGATTTACACAAATCACATGTGTAAGTCTCACACTCATGTGAGAGGTTTGATAAAAAATTTAATAATTTATTTGAGGTCTGTAGTATAATTCTTTATAAAAATTACGGTAATGCTACATGTACCAATTAATATATATATATATATCTTAGTGTATCAATTAATGTTATGTCATTATTATAAAATCCATATAAAATCCATCTATATATTAATGTAGCAACTAATTTTATGTCATCATTAATATATTAATTAGCACATTAATTACTAAGGCTTGGTTTGACATGTTTATAAAAAAGTCAAAAAGTCACTATTCTATTTAAGTCATATCATCTTATTTAAGGCACATCATTTTTTTAATACATCACTTCAAATTTAACTCATATTTCATAAAAAAGTAAAAAAATATACTTATTTAAATCATCCCAATCAACTCCTAGGTTTATTTTTGTAGAAAATGGGATAAGTTAGTTACGGGTGCTTTGCTTTCGAGAGGTTATTTAGTGGTATTTTAGAAAGTTGGTAAAAAGTTAGTTTTTGACTTTTTTTAGTTAAAAAAGTTAATTTTTTGGGTAATGACCTGAGTAAAAAAGTTAATTTTTTTGGCTAAAAAAAGTCAAAAATTACTAACTTGACACAGCAAGCGTAAGGGGCATTGCTCAGACAATATAAGGGTTGGTTTGACATGTTTATAAAAAGTTAAAAAGTCATTATCCAATTTAAGTCACATCATCTTATTTAAATCACATCAACTCTATAATACATCATTTTAAATCCAATCCAAACTCAACTCGTATTTCATAAAAAGTCAAAAAATAAACTTATTGTTAAGTTGTTTTTTCATAAGAAACAAAAAGTGATAATTTTAATCAATAAAATGTAGAAAAATATTTGGGAGTACTAGAAATGGACACTAGAAGAAGCACTAATGATGTGACAATGAACTCCGCACATTTTTTATACCTTATTTTTTTTTTACCATTTTCAATACATTAGTGTTATTAATGATGTATTTTTTAGTGATCTAAATCATTGTTGTAAAATGTAGGTTGGGGAATCATTTGAATTTGTCGTGGAGCAAACTATAATTTCTCTTTGCTTTCACCCGAAGAAACGTACAAGAGAACTGACGTGAGCCTTCCTGACAAAAGGCGCCAAGAGTACAAGCTAAGGTGTGAATGGATCGGGATGGATTGATCGACGGTTCAGATCTTTCACCTTTCTATTTTTGAAACCCTTTTAAAGAAAAAGTTATTGGTGACCTTTGGTGTCGTTTGGGAAGAGTTTATTTGGATTTTTTTGATTTTTTGAGCCATAAAAAATAGAATAAGTTATTTGAGTCATAACAGACAAAACATCAAATTCAATCTATAATCATTACATTCTTCTCTCACAAAAAAAATCAAAAAAGTCAAAAAGTCAAAAAATTATTTCCAAACCAAGCTTTTGAGCCCAGACTCAAATAGCCAAAAAAGTTAAAAAGCCAAAAAGTCAACCCACTTCCCAAACGGAGGCTTTGTGTGTTGGGGTTTTTTTATTTTTTACACTAAAAGATAAACTTTTTGTAAAATAAAAAAAAATAAATTGAAATAAAATATCACATTCAATTCTATAATCATTTCATTTTTTCTCTCACAAATATCACATCCAACTATAAAAAAACTAACTATCTTCCCAAATATCAAATTTTTTTTATTTAATAATATCCTACGACAACTTACATAAAAACTCACTTCCCAAACACCCACATTGTTGGTTATGGGGCAGCGTTTTGTGGTGCTTTACATGTCTTGTAATTAGTGAATTGAGATTTATAATTTTATATTAAGTGATTGAAGAATATGAAAAGACATAAAAGTTTATAATTGAGTTAAAACATGGTTACATAGCATCTCAAACCTAACCAATAATTTTTTCTTACAAAAGACACTTTGTTTGGTTTTAAGTTTTTTAAAAAATAGTTTTTAAATTTAATTATTTTTTAAAAAAATTTTAGAACTATATTTTAATTTTTTTATTTTTAAAAGATACAATATTGTGAATAATGGTTTAAACATTTTAATAAATACCCAATATTGTGGATAAAGGTTTAAACATTTTAATAAATGCAAAATAATACTAAATTTTTATATTTTTCTTTTGCATTTAATGAATTTTAAAAAGCTCTTTTACAAATTTTATACCTTTTTAATGTATCTAAATTAAGTAGATTTAAAAAATACAAAAAAATTGATTTAAATATTAAAAAAATCACTAAAATTCCCAAAATATAAATTGAAAGTTACAAAATTATTTTTGAAAAATTCAAAACCAAACAGATTCAAAGATTTAAGAGGCATTTATTCATAAATTCTTCTTTACCTACTTATGTAACACCTCAAAATAATTACCATAATCCCTTCACAACATTTGTAAATGACAATAATAATAAAGTAATTATCTTTCATTATCTAATTGGGATTACAAAAGGAAAACAAATGCAGTACACGTTCATAATGCCTGGTCCTAAATATATAGCATATGTTACAAATAACAGAAAAGTATGAAAGTTAAACAGGTAAGAAATACCCTAAAGGCTTACAACTTCCCAAGATAGTTCTTGGCTACACAAAAGTGGACTTTCGGTTCAATACATTTAAAGCCCTAGGTTATATATATAAAAAAAAATACAACAAAGAAGCTCTTACTCCTACTCTTCCAAAGCTACTATCTTGGCAGAGGCGTATCGCTAGTACCTGAAAATGGTTTTCCCTAAGTAGGGTGAGCCAAAGCCTAGTAGAAATTAGGGC